CATATCTTACTTTTTAAATGGCAAAAATATACCGAGATATCTGAGTATCTCAAAAACGCCTATTATTTAAAACTTAGCTATAAGTCTACTTATGATCTTAGTAGCTTTACTCATTTTCACCCTGAGAATTTAGCTTTCAGCTACAAACTTTCACATCTCCAGGATATTCAGACTTTTCTGATCACCTATTCTCAAGAGATATAAGTCTGTATTTTTAATCAGTATACGATGAGCGCTTCCATTTACCCATCCCTTTCTTAACTTTATTGTTCAGTTACCTTGCCTTCTATCACGATGTTGTCTACTCCTTCCTGGTCTTCTACTACTTCGTCATCGGCGTCCCATCGGGCCAATAAGCGTCAAAGTTTCTACGTTAAGTGGATAACAGGCTTGACAAATAATTATGAACTTCGTAACGTCGCTAATGTTATTTCAATTAGTTGGAGATTTATAAATTATATAAATAAATTAATAAATTAATAAACATATTCAATAAGAATACGACATATTTAATAATATAATACAAATCACAATAAACACATAAAAATACTTGATATTATTAATTCAACTTGATATTTGATATTATAAAACTCGAAAACAACCATTACTTAGTAGGTATCGTTATTCTAGACGTACTATTCATACTCATATTTTAATATAGAAATTGTGCATAATTATTAGTGTCAGATGCATATCTAATCATTTAAATTAAACATGAAATGATCACAATATATATTCATGACAAAACATTTGAATTGAATTATTATGTATTCACATATTCTATTCTATCTATAATAAATTGCATTGTATTTCGCACTATAAAAAAAAGAGTAAATATTTTTACATTATTTTGTATTCTAATGTAACATTTATGATGACTTTTACTACGTGCTTCCTCTAATACTAATATAGAGATATTTGTAACCAATTATGCGATGCATAAATATTTACAAAAACACACACTGTCATATTTTCTCGATATGTAGACAAGAAAGGTTGTTACATAAATTAATGAAATCATCTACATGTAATTGAACTTCAGTCATTAAATTATCTTAAAAAGAAAGAATTTTAAATATCTCTATAAACATATATCTACTAACATAGAAACATAGAAACTATTAATCAATGACATAATAAATATATCTTTTTGCTTAATTTCATGATGAATTTAAGATTAATAAAAAATAAAAAAAAGAGACAAAAAATTTCTTCGAGATGACTAATACGATATCTATCCCGTATATGTCATGTCACTATGTCATGTTAATACAGTTTAACCATTTCGTTAATTAATAATCTCTCATAAATACAAATTTATCAGTGAACATTTTTGAAATAACTGTTATTTCCACTAATGAATTATCTTCGCCACCAACTCCTCTCCATGACGAAACGAACCATTAAGGACAAAGCCATGAGAAAGATGATGACCGCCGCTGCCACAAGGATAGCGCCGTATCCTGTGAAGAATTATTTATCTTAGACTTTTTGTATTTCATAATTATTTTTAGCATAATAATAGATATTATAAGAATTTGTTGACTGATCTTAATTATGTTTGTTATTCATGATGTAATGAAATGTTGCCACAATCACTTGTTTACCAAGTCAATCGATGTTTCCTCGTTAGCTGTCAGAATTAAAAAGAATAAATAAAGAAATAAAATGAAATAAAATACCAATAATTGAATGCGATAACAAAATGCCTCTATGCTTCGTAACGATTTTTACATAATTCTATAGAAATGCGATAGAAAGATTCAAATGTAACTAGTAATATTTTTACAATTTCTACGATAAAAAATGCAGAACACAAAAATCACAAATTTCAATCATTGATGCTCACTTCGTGATTTTCTATCGTCAACTTTCTCCGCGATTTCATTGTCCACCGTTTCTCTTGTCAAAGAATTCATATGACTACCAAACTTGAAGAATCGGTGAGGCATTAAAGGCATCTGATACGACAAGTATTGACTGTTAATCCCTTCGGGATGAAAACCCGTGGCCGGTGTTAAGTAGGCTTGGAAAGGTGTCAACGGTATTTCCATCCTACAAGTCGTATCGTCGGTGGAATACGGATTGCCGAATGAAAAAAGTCCGTACGGCCAACCGTGATCTGGTGACGCAAATGTGCTGTAAGGTGGCGGAATTACGGTGTAAGGTGGTGGATCGTCATTAGTCTCATTGCCGTTTGCAATAATTGAAGAGGAGATTATCACAGACGTCGGACCGCTTGAGGTCTCGTCGATATGTGCGTTACTATTTAATTCCACGGATTTGTCCTGAGGCGATTGTCTTAATGATGAAACGCTACTTTGAAGGTGCGACTCGTTCACGGACAATAGTCCATTTGATTGTAATCTCACACATGTGTTTGGCATGTCATGGTGTATGTCAGCAGGTAACAGCTGCTCGATCTCCGGGCTTGCCGAGAAATCTGTAACCGAAGTCAAAATGTACATTTCTCTGACTGATACTTTCCTTCTTCGATTATCCTTGACCGATATAGATTCTTATTAAAACAAAACTAAATATATTCAAACTACGTTTTTGTAAAATATATTGCAATGATAAAAACACTGAAAGTTTATTTTAAATTCTTAATTATTATTTATTATTATGTAAAAATCAGATAAATATAGTTGAGTTAATTTACAAGGCTTTTTGAATTAACTAAAAAATTTCAAGTTAATTAATTATAATATTATTCTAATCTATATTATTTATATCAAATTAATAGCTTCTATATTGCTTATAAATAAAATGTAACAAAATATTTATGTCTTTTGGCTCAATTAATGATATTATCAATTTTATTTATATTTTAATTAATTCTTTCATGTTTATAAATAATAATTTAATAAATTACTGTTATGTTAGATCAAAAATTTATTATGTATTTGTTTTATTGACAAAAAGTTAACGTTATGATTAAATATCCTATAAAATATTGTAGAGAAATCCAATCTTAAAATCTTGTTTGTGTATGCAAGCAAAAACATGTAAATGATTATGTCAATAAAAATTAATAATTAAAAAGTTAAATATTAAAAAGTTAAAAAGTTAATAATTAAAGTTAATAATTAAATTACAATTTTCAAGGTTTACTTTTACCATTCGTCTAAAAATCTTGATTGATTCATACTAATCAGCTAACGCGAATGTTACAGGATACAAAATATCTGATAGTATATTTTTTTAGATTGGAGAACCGTTTTAAAACTTTTTATATATTATCGACGCTATCCGTTGTAAATCTCACGTGACAAAATATAAAGCATAGGTTGTTTAAAGATAACCATGTGCACGCTACATGTAAATTTCAAGATTAACTTTAATTTACGATATACACGATTAGCATAATAATGCATCAACTTTGAATTTTGAATTGTGAAATTCAAAAATATTTCATATCATTAATGCACGTTTCACATGATAAATTTTAAACATGTTTTCCACGAAATTATACAAACAATATGTCGACAATTATAAGTTTTACGTTTCCATTTTTTTTTTGTTTCCAATTTTTCTTGTTAGTCGACGCACGATTTCCTTATTTCAGACGGATATAGCTAACTTGTAAATTTATTACGTAAATACAGTATTCAATATGAGTATAATTGTGTATATCCGCTGTATGGGTACATACATTGCATACACAATTAGCAAACCTTGAGATTACTTTCATCCATGAAGGACAATTAACCAATTTGACGTATGCAAGGGTCATATCGTCGACCTTTTTAAAATCCAAATTCAAACATTGCATCTGAAGACTGAAAAAATGTGTAAACGTCCTTAAATATGTAAGTTTAAGAAAATTGATATATTACATTTTTTTGTTATTATATCAATCAAAGCAAGACACAAGAAAAGCTTTTTGACAGTTATCTTACAAAGTTTATGAGCGTTACACGTGCTTGTCATTGTAATGCTAATAAGATGACTCGTTTAAAGAAAAATTTAAAGCAATTTTTTATAATGGCTAATAAATACGCATGAACGTATTCTCAAGTCATGCTTATCAGACATTTAAATAGTAGTAGTGTTGACTGACTGATTATCCGCTTATGCATATAACATTTATTCCATCGCTAAGTCCTTGAGAACTCACAGTCGATTACCATCACACTGTTAAAGCGCAATAGCTGAAGAAACACTTTCTATCATCGTATATTTGTAAGTGGAAACGTGAAATAGTGAGAGAATTTCCGCGTCTTTCGTTACGTTATGCACATGCATTTATTTTAAAGAAGAGTTTCACCTGAGGCATTGGACACTTTCCACTCCGTATAGCCTAATCTATTTATAGTTAAATAATGTTGCTATTTTTTATAAGTAAATCTCTTTATATTTGTGTATGTAATGTTTATATAAGATCATTTTTACACGTCTATTCTCTAATGAAAAATTATATAACAGTTTTTACAAAAGAGATAATTTACAAATAATTTTAAAAAAATTTAAAGAGGTTAAAATAGTTAAAAATAATTTTAATAAAATATTCACACATTTGAAAATTAAAAAAAATTGTTTTTTATCAGAAATTATTTTTAAAAAATAGGAAATTGCAATTAATATGTAAATATAATATATAACACTCTCACTATTTCACTCATTTTATTTAACGACATTCATGAGTGACTTAAACTTTAAAGAAAAAACTTTAAAGAACTTCACAGTAAAAACGTTCAATGATTTTATAAATAAGATCTGTTAAAAATGCAATCAATAACTTGATCGATAATAAATTCCATTCGGACGCATTTTATAAATCCTAAAAACTGACGAATAATAATACTTTGTTTTTTCTATGCTCTTTCTTCTTTTCAAATTCCGTATCACAATTACACTCATATTGAATATTGTATTTATGTAATAAATTTACAAGTTAGCCAAACTCGTCTCGAATAAGGAAATCGTACGTCGACTAACAAGAAAAAGTGGAAACAAAACTGATTACTGTCTATGACTTAGTTACGAGACTTCGAGACCCACTATATTGTGCATTTCACTCTTGTGCAATCATTGGCAAATTATCTGATTATCCTATACGTTATGAGAAAATCGTATCGCGTAATATCCTAGATATAATACTACTTGTTACTAAATTCAGCAAAAATCGATAAGAAACGGAAATTACGGCAAACGGGAACAAAATTTACGCGACGCGACAAATCGCGGAACCGGCGGGAACTCATCTCGGGGCAAGTGACGCCAGTATCAAACTCTTTCAACGGAATGAAAATTCGTAAAAATTCCACGACGAATTTATCGTAACGCGCATACCTTTTCCAGCGTTTCTCGACATTTTTCCATGCTATGTAACGTCTCGAACAACGACTGAGCGACAAGAATGTCGCGCGTGTCCGTGATACTCGTGATTCGACTGGCGATCACGATGATCCACTTGACGCGTAGATATCGCAAGTACGCGTGCAGGCATCCACTCACGCACGTTTGCACGCAGGCATGCACGCACGCGTAGCCATGATCGCGGAGCGGTGATAAGAGATGCGTCGCGAGGATAACGCTTAAACACAACTGAACGGACGGCGCGCACGGCTCGGCAAAACTACGATCGCTAACGCGGCCAATCGGCGAGCGATACTCGCTGAACAAGATGAGGGAGTGGACACGTGACCAATCGTAGCGATCCCGCAAGATCGTGGAAAATTCTCAATGACCGTAATCATCCAAAGATATCAGGTACACTGGTTTCTGTGTGAAAAGATTGCGAGATCTGATCACACGAGAAAAAACGCACGTTGTTAAAATAGAAAAATTCTGCTTTTCAAACAGCTCGGACAAGTTATTATAATTAAGCACAAGTTCAAAACTGGATAAAACAAGTTCAATCGCGTGTTATCAATTCCACATGGAAAATTCATATAAATTGCAATTGACTTGGCTTTCATGAATGTTGTTATTATTGTTTTTCATAATAAATATTTTAGCTTGTTCAGCGAATATACGAAATCTGACTCACAACCATGAAACTTTATATATTGTGAAATGAGATGAGGCAATTATTAGTGAATTGTAAACAACGTTGAATATGATCTCTGCTGAATTAGCATAATCACATAAGAAATGGGTTAAGGTCGAGTTTAATGGGTGGCCTCGAAATGAGAGCTCCAATTATTCTAGAATAGACTTATATATGCTCAAATGAACGTTGTGAACTGTGTATCGTTATAGAGTCTTTCGTGCAGAAAATTATATATATCGATCAAGTTATTGAAGTACAATCGTACTTTGAAAGCAATTGTTCTTTGTACGTATCACGCATATATATTAAAAAGAGAATAAAAAATGAATTGTTTGCAAAATTTTGTTCTTATAAATATATAATGATATATATATTATTATTTATTACGGCTTATAATAAATCATGGCAACGATACACGATTGCAAAAAGTTTAAAAGACCTATTATTAAGTAATTAGATTGAAAAAAGTTACTGATAATTAGAAATGACGTAAATAATTCAATAATCATTATCAATGAAAGTATGATAAAAACATTTTCATATTTTTCTAAAAACGAACTATTTCTTAGAACAATGTTAAAATAATTTTTTTAAAAGTTATTTCTAATATAATAACGCGCGTCTGTATTAGTTTAAAAGCATCATTTGCATAATGTATTCGCGTTTTTATCATACATTCTTTAGAGAAATATTCCATCAAATTTATATGATATAATAAAACGCGCGAGATGCGATTTCATATCGCGTATTAATATCGTATCTTTCGCAGGTGACTAGTTATAATTACAAAGGACGACATATTTACGATTAACTTTGGCGAAGAAACCGGAACAACAGTCCGGTAATTTTAATTTTCGGTATGGCACCTGTAAAACTCGATCTCGCGGTGACGTGAGATAGCGGCGGTGTATTCATAAAAACTTATTTCGCGAATCCTGCTTTTCATGCGACTCACACAGTGCGGATGACGTACACTTCACACGGATACGCGTTATATTCGCGATTACGTGTCTCGCATGTCTTCCACCGACGAGACGATCCCTCCGGAACGACGCTCGTTCCCTGGCCGGTCCTTTTACGGTCGTCAGAATAACTCCGTCGTGATTTCTCGCGAATTCGGAAAGACTCAGCCGAGCGACGATTTCCTCAAGTCAGGTGTCATTCTCGTATGTTTTATTTCCGGAGACGACCGACAATCGTAAACCGACTACGGAATGAGACGTCACACTTTTTCGCAACACGTTATGCGAGCCGCAACAGTAAATGCCCGGCTCGATTCTTCACGGATAATTGAACGTGACATTATTATTAATTAAATTAAATTAACTAATTGGAAAAACACGATTCATTATATTTTTGGTAAATATAATATAACATAGCAGCTTTATAAATAATTCCGTCGAAAATAAAACACAATGTTATAATAAAGAAATTTTAATTTAATAACAGCTATAATAACATTTTTCTTTTTAAATGAGAAAGCTCGAAAGTTAATACTAAAGTAATACCATCGAAAAACCTAGAATCTAGCTTTTTATTAAATACAGGTCTATATCGCCAACATAATTCATATGAAATATCATTAAAGTTATAATTATAAAAGGAGCCTTTAATCTCCTAGGGGGTGTCTTTTAAGACGATCTCTCTCGCCTTTACTACAACTGCGTAAATGATATGGCGTAACGGGGAAAGAGGAAAACGCATTTTCCATGAATGTTGGTCATAAAGGTGGGTTACTACCGGAATGCGCGAACTACGACTGCTTCGCCTGCGTGAAACTGCTCTCACAGCACATTCGTGTCTTCTTTTCTTTTCCTACGCGTCGTATGTATAACTACTCATGTATCCGCTGTGTATTCTGTAAGCGTGCAGAAGATGCCTGTTAAAGTCGTGAATGCACGCCATGCCCGCATGCTCGCACGATGGATGCTATATTTGGGAAACAACTAGCGGAAGAGATGACGTTGCATCTGAAGGAACGTTACGGAGTTATGAGCTAAGATTAAAAATATACATATATTATCATAAATTGCTTTTTTAATTTAAATATAAATATATATATATAGCTTATTTCCATTAATTCTGAATTTTTTTATCATAAGTTTGAAACAAATTCATTAAAAATAAAAAAGTAATATTTTGTTATTTAATGACAACGTCCAATACACTGGATAAAATAATAAAACAAATAGTTTTTTGAAAAACGTTGCAGCCTATAAGCAGATTGCAATTGCAGCTTTGTATTAGACTCCCTTATCGATTTCCATTCTTTGGCTAACAACTTTGCTGGTACAAGCGAACGCTAACGACTGTCACAAAACAAACGAATGAACGACTGTTAACCACAAAGGGCGAGAACGGAAGCTTGCGCTCTCACACTTTGTAGCAATTTTGCGAAGTTGCGGGCCAAGTACACAAGTTCGATGTTCCGGGCTGTACGGGTAGATTAGATTTGGCTTAAGAGTGGATGAACTGTCCTGCGATAAAAGCGGGTAATTTCGCGACGCTCGCTAACTTCGACACGACTTGGATGCCCAGAAAATAATCAGCCATGGGAGTTGAGTCGATGGACCACCACGTAGACAAACCCCCTTGTTCCAGAGAGCCGTTACCTACGGCAGCCCAACGAGAAGAGACGGTCTTTGTGCACTGTAGAAATCGTAAGATTGGTATCGTCGCTCGGCTGCCACTCGGTATTGCGCTTCACAGCAGCATCACCCTCGTAGTGGTCGTCGCCTTTTTATTTCAAGGGAAATTAACGACGACCGCCGAGTAATTGTCGGGCGTTAAGCTTCCGCGGAACGTAATTACGCGAGGACAAAGCGGTGCGCGAAGTAAATACGAAAACGCGGCCGCGGGACGAATTTGTCGCGGCGCTTTCGAGGCGACGAAACTTCTTCGGAACTCCATTGTCGGTCGTTGCGCGTCGTTTGTGTGAGTCTAAAGTTTTCTAATTGACAAAAGAGTGTCTTCACAACAAGTCCGACCGAACAACTAATAAAATTTAAACGATAGACATATCAACGTAGCAACTGATAATGTTGATTTCTAAATATATACGCAGGTATATAAAAAGGTATATAAAAATTGTTTTTAGTCATAAATTTCACAGTATTATATTTTTATCA